AAAAAAAAAAAAAATTGTGTTGATCAAAAATGATTATCAAAAAAGAATATACTTACTGTGTTTTGAACTTCTTTGAAAATAATCTTTAAAAGTTTTTGTGGCATACCTACGATCTTGTCATGGCACACTGGCTGAAATTCACTGGGCTAGACCACATTTTGTCACACGTTTCTCCATGGGCAGACAATGGGTTGTTTCTGCCTTCTGGCTCTTATGAACAATACTGCAGTGGATGTCAGTGTACACATTTTGGTGTGGGTGAAAGTTTTCACTTCTCTTGTGTAGGTACCTGGGAGTAGGTTATTTATTTATTTATTTATTCATTCATTCAAAATTTCTTTTCTTGTCCTGGGCGTCCAGGAGGCAACATCATTCTGGCCTGTCGAGACATGGAGAAGTGTGAGGCGGCAGCAAAGGATATTCGTAGGGAGACCCTCAATCACCAGGTCGATGCCTGGCACCTGGACCTGGCATCCCTTAAGTCCATCCGAGAGTTTGCAGCGAAGGTCATTGAAGGTAGGTTGGAGAGTGCTGGCCTCATGGGCTGAGGTCTGGGGTTGCTATTCCCAAGGCTAGGCTCTGAGAAGCAGGAGAACCAAGTGAGCAAAAAAAAATTTTTTAAACATTTTTATGTTTATCTGTCTTAAATTTTAAATGGGTAAAAGAAAATCGAAAGAATAATAATCACATACAAAGTGCCAGGTGGTCCTGCCTGTGAGCACCTCTCATCCTATCACTGGTGCCTAGGGTGCTCAGCTCTCTAGAGACTCAGCTCAGGGCCATGTGGGCAGTGAGGAGCTGAGTTTGGCACACCTGGGCAGGCGACACCTCCTCCCTGAGCCAAGCTTTCCTCTTCCTGGAAACAGGATAATAATTCCCTTTACTTTGTGGGAGTCTTTTAAGGATTAAATGAAATTGTGTTGGTAACTTTTTCAGCTAATCAGTATCTGTTTCTTAGCATTTCCCTAAGATAAACAGCCAGGAATGAAAACATCAAAGCATTTCTTGTTGTATGTATTCTATCATAATTTAAAAAATGGAGGTGGGACGGGTGCTGTGGCTCACGCCTATAATCCTGACACTCTGGGAGGCTGAGGAAGGAGGATCCCTTGAGTTCAGGAGTTTGAGACCAGCATGAGCAAGAGTGAGATCCTGCCTCTACTAAAAATAGAAAAATAAGCTGGGCATTGTGGTGGGTACCTATAGTTCCAGCTACTCAGGAAGCTGAGGCAGGAGGATTGCTTGTCCCCAGAGTTTGAAGTTGCTGTGAGCTATGATGTCATAATGATGTCATAGCACTCTACCCAGGGTCCCAGGGTGACAAAGTGAGACTGTGTCTCCAAAAAAAAAAAAAAGGTAGAGGCAGTTCTCAGATAAAACAAAAGTCAGAGGTGGCTTTCTGGGTGCTTACCTCTGTGAGTGGAGCTGCCATCTTCCACTTCAGGGTTTTTGCCTGGGCGGTGCCCACTGCTGGATCCTCCTTCACCGGGATCACATGGCGGGCCCATCTCATGCTCTGGTTCCAGCTTCTGCATCTCTCAGGGCCTCCCTCCTGCTCTGCTGGTGTCCTCTGTGTGGTCTCCTGTCCACCTCTGCAAAGCTCTGTCACTTGCCATGTGTGTATGTGGCTCTTAGCTGCATTGGGAAATGCAGCTCAGGGAAATGCCTGAAACGCACCTCAACGGTCTTGTTCAGCCTGTATTTCCAGCACCTTGTGATGGGTAGTTGGAAAATACTAGTTGAATTAGTGTGTGTATGTACAGCTGTCCCAGGCAGGTATTATTACTGTGCCTTTTCACAGTGGGGAGACTGAGTCACAGAGAAGCTAAGTGACTTAGCCAGTGTCATACAGCTGGTCAAGGGTGGGACAGGGCT